AGCCCTGGACCTGACGTCCAGGAAAATTGTGTTTTTTATTTTTTCAGCCCTTGAAGTTGAAAACCTTGTTTCTGAGTTTCTTTTTTTCTTTTTTCAGAACTATTTGGCTCGTAACTTCTACAACCTGCGTTTCCTGGCTCTGTTTGTCTGCTTTGCCATCAACTTCATCCTGCTCTTCTACAAGGTAAAGCCCAGTTTACCCCAGTACAGTGTGAGTATGTTTCCATAACAACGTTTTTCTGCCCTCAGACAATGGAATGTTGTCGACGTCTGGCATTATTTTCTTCTCCTTTCAGTGTCATATTTAGTTGTGATTTGTGTTGGTTTAACCAGCAACAAAATGTTGGCTTAAGTTTGTGGTTATTGGTACAATATTCCTACAATTCCCACCTGGGAACGCTGGCTGTAACCTCGGTATACTGGATTTGAAAGGTAACAGAAGAAGCTGAAGACGATGGCGATGATGAAAACGGCTGGGGTGAAGATGAGGAGGACAACGAGAACACGCTGTTCGACATGGACGAGTTCGTTCTCCAGGAGAGCACGGGCTACATGTTGCCTGCTCTGCGCTTCCTGGCCAAATTCCACACCGTCATCTCCCTCGTCTGCTTGGTCGGCTACTACTGTCTGAAGGTACCGCTGACAGTTAACATGAACTTCTGTCCGTCTCTGCGGCGACGTCCGCTGTAACCTCGGTCTCCTCCGAACCCTCAGGTTCCTTTGGTGGTCTTTAAAAGGGAGAAGGAAATCGCCAGGAAGCTGGAGTTCGACGGCCTTTACATCACCGAGCAGCCGTCAGATGACGACATCAAGGGCCAATGGGATCGACTGGTCATCAATACACCGTGAGTCTTCAGACCGAGTGGACCTTAGGGTTCAACAGAGATTAAAGGTTCTTCTGGAAACAGTTTCTGTTGAAGCAAAATGATTGAGAGAGAATTTTTGGATTCAACCTTTTTCATTTTTTTTAATAGATTTTATCTTTTTTTTTTTTAAACAAATTTAAATAGTTGCTAATACGTTTTTTTTATTGCAGGTCCTTCCCCAACAACTACTGGGACAAGTTTATTAAGCGTAAGGTAAGACCCTGATGCTGAAGTTCAGTGTGTACTTTCCTAAAGATGAAGTATTTGTCCTTTTTGAGAAGACACGTCGTAAACTATCTTTATAAGACGTCACGTCTTCATGTATGGACTACAGCCATTACACTGTGGAGCATGTGTGTGCAGGTGATCAACAAATATGGCGACCTATATGGAGCTGAACGCATCGCCGAGCTCCTGGGTCTGGATAAGACCGCTCTGGACTTTGACCCCACAGTAGAAACGGTGGAGAAGGAAGCCTCGCTGGTCTCCTGGTAAGAACCGACTGTTTTTGTTTTGTTTGTTTTTTTCATTGTGTTTTAGTAAACACAGCAAATCTTGTGCAGATATTTTGTGCTATAAATGCACAAAAAAAATTGACATGTTAACAGTTGACAAAAATAAATCCTTATATGCAAAGAAATAAAAAAAATGCCTTAAAATGCATCAAAACATGCTTGGTATAGATATTTGGGGGGGGGGTTTGGCTCTTTGAAGATCTTCTAAGCCCTTTGCTTGTAACGTTTTGTGTATAATTTGTACTAAGAATGACAAAAAACATCATTTCTGAATGAGAGAAATTTTTTTTGATGATTTTTTTTTCAGGTTGAGTTCCATTGACACAAAGTACCATATCTGGAAAATGGGTGTTGTTCTGACTGACAACGTGAGTACATTCTGTCTTAAAAATCATATATTTTTCTTTTTGTTAAATGTCAGTTTTTATTTCACAAAAAAAAAGTGCAGCCTTTCCAGGGGTGATTCTGTTCTGCATAAAACAGATTAAACAATTAGAAATGAGTCAAATGGAAGACGATAATCATATACTGTTGAAATTCTCTGAGTGGAAAACAAAACAAAATTCCCCTTTTTGTCCTGCAGTCCTTCCTCTACCTGATCTGGTACACCACCATGTCCGTTTTCGGACACTTCAACAACTTCTTCTTCGCTGCTCATCTGCTGGACATCGCCATGGGCTTCAAGACGCTGCGCACCATCCTGTCTTCAGTCACGCACAACGGCAAGCAGGTAGGTCACTCAGCCAGCAGAGGGAACCAAAGTACACATAAGACTTAAACTCCAAGGCATATGATACATGGACTAGATGTTCCAAAACAAAGACTTGCCAAATGTTGTGTCCCTGTAGCTGGTCCTGACCGTGGGTCTCCTGGCCGTGGTGGTCTATCTCTACACTGTGGTGGCCTTCAACTTCTTCAGAAAGTTCTACAACAAGAGCGAGGACGAAGACGAGCCCGACATGAAGTGTGATGACATGATGACGGTACATTGACCCTGTCTTGTTGTTCAACTTTTTAAAAAACAACAGAGTAAAAGTGAAATCGTTCTGTAGGTCGTCTAAAGAATGAGAATTGAAAAATACGGAGTTGAATTCTTCAATGAGAAACATTCTCCTCCAAAGGCTTTTTCCTTTCCTTTTCCACCTTTAGTTGAAACTAATGGGAAGAAATGTTCTTAGTTGCAGAATAATTAAATGCCTTTCAGTCAGCAAAACAATTAAAGGTTCATTCAGTAAAGATGT